TTGATCCGCCGAGGCAGACGGCCGTGCATCTTGGCTGCCGCCGCGATGAGGAACGTCAGGGGACATAAAGGACAAATTAGTTCATTAGAGGCAATGCAGCAGGACGCTTGCTAACAACAGCCCAAGTGGTGAAACCGCAATCAACTGCTCCTCCATCCATGGCCCGATCGAGAGGTTTCCCAAAACCGCGAGGAACTGCTTATGAGGATGTATAAAGCCAGTAATAACGTCCCAAAGGTGGAGTGGAGGGCACCTCACTAGGAGCTTCACGACGTCGTAGTGCTGGTGTGGACGTGTGTCGACATAGCTTTTGCTGCACAACAAGGCCACAAGGGGGCAGTGAGATTGCCAGAAATGGCCCCGACGACCATTAAAAGATGTACAAGGCCATAAGGAATATTGCTTTGCTTGGCATGCCTACTGGCGTATAGTACAACCGATCACAAGCACGCTCTACTCCTACTCTATGACTTGGATAGTGTAGTAGCTCGATCGATCGGTGGCATTCGAGTGATGCGCGTTGGCATGTGAATGTGCCCCGATCAACCCCAAGGTACTGTGTGCCACATATAGCATTCGGGAGTCATGCGCACTCTTTGAGTCGACGCTAAAAGTGGCACCACGCGGCAAGCCACACAAGTTAATCATGCCTTGATTGAATGTCTAACCAGCTAACCTTGAGGCTTGGACTAAGCCAAGGAGGAGGGCGGCCTATCCCACGGGGTCCTACGTAGTTCCAGCCAGCTTTTGAGTCTTGGCGTCTTGGACTCGGTGAATCTGATTATCAAAGTCCGGGTGAGAGAGACAGAGACACACACATATGAGAGATATTGGATGAGGGAGTCACGCAAGAGGTTTGTTAGATTGGGTTTCGGTCAAGCAGAACTGGGCGAAAATTGCAAATTAATAGTTGAAACAAATTCGCAAATTAACAGTGGAAAATGGGCAGATTTTGCACATCTGTGGCTGCAAACATTAGTCGACACTCTATTAATGGGAATGAAGTATTTGCTACACCACATCTGATCACTTGTTGTCCAAACTCCAAAGTCATAAGAAACGGGTGGACATAAGATATGAGAATATAACCAATGTATATACATTTCACCTGAAAAAAACACCTGATGTATATGCATTTATAGTCATGTAAACAAAAGTAAGCAACAACCCTAATGTGTATTCAAAATGAACATTAGATCTTAACTAGGAGCCACTAGTAAGAACACCAAAGAAACAATTAATATTAGGTGTTGAGGGTGTAATATTTTTATGTCCACAATGATCGGATATATAATTATGAAATTAATAGAAGATTTCATCTTCACAAACATTGGATCGTCATGAGACCATGCGCTCTAACATTCCCATACTTTATCAATTCTACCAGTGAACCCTCTTGGCAGCTCGCTCATCGTCTATGCAATTAGGCGGGTACATAGAAGATGATTTCTTCAATGATTTTGTCATCTCAACGCATGTAGCAAGGCGTGTGCGAAGTATTCTTGTTCATCCTGGTGCGGCCTTAACGAGGACGGCGCCGGTGCAAATATGAGATGAGGCGAAACTAGGTTGGGACGGTAACCACTGTAGACATTCCATTGTTGGCACTCCGACTGTGGAACCGTTGGCAGCTGGATCAAATGGTTCCATTTTTCCTTTGCTAAAGCTGAACCTGAATCGATTCAGGTACTAGTACTACACACAGCATCTCTATTTTTCCTTTGCTCCTCGTTGCTTTTACGGCCAACTTCTTGGTTGATTCTACAGCGTCCTGTTGAATCTGACCTTTTCTGGCGCTGATTGTTGGACCATGTGGATACGTGAACATCAAAACGAAAAAACATATTTTACTGCTTTGAGACAAACTCATCTTTATGGCTTCATGGTGCCCCGTATCCTACCCAATGTCTTGCAGCGTGGCCTATCAATAAGATGCTCTCGACTTGAGTCGACTAAGAAAACTGTCCTATATGATGCTCCGTCCTTTCTGATTTACAGTTTTGCTAAAGCACATCTAGATGTATTTTAAGTATTGCACATTTCAGTCATATGTCCATTGATTTCACGCTAAGATTTGTGCAAGTATTGTATTTTGTCTTTTTTTTTCTTTTTGTTTCTAGTTTGATTGAGTCACTTAGATGTGCAATAACTATACGGCAATCTATATTTATGCGAGTATCTCTAGGCCGTCAATTTTGCCAATGTAGTACAAATTACACTTCTGCTTCGGAACAACCCCCTAAACACATCAACGGGGAGATCTTTTCATAGCCCTTCATAATAACGGGTAGTATGGTCTTTTTTTGAACATCGCCCCATCGAGCGCACCCTATGTATGTACCGCCCGG